GTGAAGACATCAAGAATGCAATGCTGGAGAGTATAACACCTGTGGTGTGAAGACACTGAGAATGCATTGCTTAAGAGTGTATCACTTGTCGTGTGAAGACATCGAGAATGCAATGCTGGAGAGTGTAACACCTGTGGTGTGAAGACACTGAGAATGCATTGCTTAAGAGTGTATCACTTGTCGTGTGAAGACATCGAGAATGCAATGCTGGAGAGTGAAACACCTGTGGTGTGAAGACACTGAGAATGCATTGCTTAAGAGTGTATCACTTGTCGTGTGAAGACATCGAGAATGCAATGCTGGAGAGTGGAACACCTGTGGTGTGTAGACACTGAAAATGCATTACTGGAGAGTGGAACACCTGTGATGTGACGACACTGAGAATGCAATGCTGGAAAGTGCAACACCTGTGGTATGAAGACATTGACTTTGTGAAGTATTTTTAAAGCATGGAGTCTGCTAAGACATTTAGTTTCTAGATTTTCTTTTTTCCTTTCCAGTATTTTCTCTCAAATACTTTCTTTAGATAAGAGGAGAATTTGGAAATAGCAGTGTTTTAGTGGCCAGATCCCTTTGGCATCAGTGCTTTCCAGATAACCACAAAGCTGGTTGCTACTTTGAAATGGTATGATAGGCTTATAGTTATATAAGAAGTAACAGTCAAAATATTTTTAGATTAATTGAGAAAACGTTTTAATAAAAAAAGAAATTAGTAAAAAGAGAACAGATAGTTTAAAAAATAAAAAAAAATGAATTGATGTCCTGAAAATGGAAGAAATATTTACATTTATTAAGAAAGCCTCACTTAGGGCTAGAGAGTTGACTCAGAAGTTGAGAGTACTTGTTGCTCTTGCAGAGGACAAAGGTTCATTTACCAGCACCCATATGGTGATTCAGAAGCATTTTGTAGCTCAGTTCTAGGGGATCCAACAACTTTTCTTACCTTTGTGGGCAGACACCTGCTGTCCACACATGCATACATGCAGACAAAACATTCACACACCGAAAATTCAAATGAAACCTTGAAGAAGGAACCTTAACCTACTGGACCTAATTTAAACACGAATTTTTTTCATCTTTATCATGATCTTGCAAACAGCTTTGTGCTGTTTGAGACACTACACCACAAAAAAATATTTCTTTTATATTCAAGGTGCACATGATTCAATGAACCTCATTGAATCTGTTGTATCAAGACCACCTGGTAGTGTTCAAGTCATATGTAACCACGAGAAAAAATGAAATGTATTTGCAATTGAGAGAACTACGTCCTAAAATTAGTAGGACTTAAGCAAGAATATGATTACATGAAAACTTATAATTAACCTTCACATCAATGAAACTCAAAATATGCAAACAATATGATTAGCATAGTCTTTGCTGTCAGTCAATGTTATTGTTAAATAGACTATGGCAGCCAGGTGTGGGAGTTCGTGACTGTAGTGTAAGCACTTGGGAAGCCGAAACAGGAAGATTTTAAATTCAAGGCAAGTCTGGACTCCATGGAAAAATACTGTCACCAAAGACTAAAGGAAGTTGATGATTTGCACGCTTCTTTGCTCCTTTGTATGCATTATAAGCAAGTATTTTCACCTCTTACATACAGATATACTGAGTTTACTATTCTGCCATTTCCTTGTTTACTTAACAGGATAAGGAGGATTTGTTAATAGGTATGAATCTATGACATTTAAAAATAGACGTACTGTGATTTAAACAATTCATAATCCCTCATTACATGCACAACGATAATGCATGTTTCTTTCCTCATGTCTTTATATTGTTAATTCCCTTGCTAGTGTAGATTCTTTCAGATAGAACTGCTGGCTCCCAGGTGTCTGGGCAAAAAATTCTACCTTACCTTGTCTCCTACAAGAGTCTTCTCACTTCTACGTGCAGCATTTCCTGTCGTCCTAGCTGTGTTTACGTTGCTCTGTCTCACTCTGGTTTGCCTGCCTGGTCTTAGGATCTGCTGCTTTCTGATACTCATTGGGGGTTCTCATTTGGAGTTTTTGTATTCATTAGTCATCACCAAACTGTTAACTATTACCATAAATCTGGAGATACCAATCTTCAAATAGAGGTCTGACAGGTTCAGGTGTAGCTAAACACATATTTCTATTTGTAGTTATTTACATAATGAAAATGACAGATTTAAGATAGATGGGGATTGACACTCTATGTATTTTCTTATCACTGATCCATTAACTATTTATTTATTTACTTATTTATTTGCTTGTGTATGCAAGATGCACATATTATAGCATGCACACAGAGGTGAGAAGATAACTCGAAGGAGTTGGTTCTCTCTTTCCATCTTGGGGGTCTCAGTGAATTCACATCTTTGGCCCTGGAGGCAAGGCCTCTCACTCATGCCATCTATTATTAGCCTTTGTGACATGGTTTCACCAACCAAAAGTCTTTGGGTTTACACTGGGGCAAGATCCCAGTTCCCCTCTGCCTGCTGCACTTACCTTTGCAATTCTTCCGGGGCAGACTCCTATTTCTTTTCTTAGAACTTCTGGAGTGTGTACTCATGACAACATGCTCATTGACTCTGTGAGCCTGTCATGGCCTCAATATTGAAAGGGAACCTCTTTAATTACAGTAATTCTATCTAACCTATGTATTATCCACGGGTATATTCTGATATGATGCTATTTGTTAATTTGGGGAAGACACTAAATCTCCAGTGTATGTTTGCTAATTTACATTGTTATTATCCATCAAACTAGTGATTTGAGATACACAGGGGTTTAGAAAAGCCATTGGTGAGTCAAAGACTTTTACACATAATAATAGTGTGACTGAGAATAATTATCATCCGTGGACCTCAGTTTAGTTTATCTGTGCAAGGAAAGGAAGAGCATACTTCACAGATAGTGAGAAAGCGCAGAAAGACGGGATCTGGACATGGCTCAGTGGTTAAAAGTGTTTGCTGCTCAACCAGACACCCACATCTCAGATTCAGTACCCACCTTGCTGGTACACAGGTCTGTGGATCTTTAGTACCAGGGAAACTGATCCCCACCGACATCTGTCTTCTGTGGGCACTTGAAATACCTTATACACATACACATAAATAAAGTATATAATAAATACACTAAAAATAGTAAGACAGATGTGTCCTAATTGCTTTATAAATTTGGCACAAATATAAATTGTGATTATATCTAAAATTCCCAAGTTTTTATGCCAGTAGAAAGTAAAGCAGTGTGTGTGCAATGCCATGCATCATAGGCAACTGGATGAATAACAAGACTCCAGAAGCAAATCTGTGGCCATATGTGGCCATCAGAAATTGTTTAGTAAAAGCAGAAAGAAAAATTAACTAGCAAATTGGGTTGTACTCTCTGTTCCTGTATGATAGAATAGTTAAATTAATAGCTAAATCTAATTAAGAAACTGAAAAATTGTAGAATGCTTGCTGCCAATACTAAACCCAATGGGCTGTGAGACAGGGGTATGGTAACACTCAAAAGTTACCTCACCTTTGTTGAATATTAAGGGGATTTCATCACCTAGCCCTGGAAATAAAGCAGCCCTTGCAATTACATTTTGTAATTTGTTATTGGTTCAAAAATTAACGACTTTTTCTGTAGTCAATGGATCATCACAGGTGACAAAGCACAGATTTAATTAACAGTGACAGGTAAAGCCCCTTAGAGTCAGAATGGATTTATAATAGCAATTATATAAGAAATTATATTTTGCTCGTTACCGTTTCACATCGAGGCCAATTGTACTTATCATATGGAGCTGGTTCTAGCACTTTGTGTTACACTGGCAAATATTTAAAATACTGAAATATGCCCACAAACTGTTAAACACGTCACGGCCCACTACCTAGATAAATATCTCATCTTAAAGCCTGGTTTGCATTTAGAAAGTTGGGGCTGTTGACTTCCACTTAGTGTCTTGTTGCTTGACTGGTTTTCCACATTGCCCCATCTCGGAGCAGCAGTGAGAAGAAGCCTGTGCCTTCACTCTAGTAAATTTCACTGGTAAGTTTTGTCAACACCACCTTCCACCTCTACAAAACTGAATGCCAGAGAGACTTCTGTCTGGAGAATGTTCATGCTAGTAGTGCATTCTATTTGCTTGAAGGTAGAGCAGGAGTGAGGCTTGCTCACTTCCAGGTTGGGTTCAGACCATTAAGAGATTAAAGGTGAGGGGACAGAAACGCAGCTCATCTGGTAAAAGCATTGGCCTTAAAGTTCTGATAACCTGAGCTTCATAGCTGGGACTCATATATCAGAAGGAGAAAACTGATTCTTGCAAGATGTTTTATGGCCTTAGTTCATGTACTGAAAGCACACACACAATCTCAAGAATATCTATACTATATATAGTTATTTATAAATAGACATATTTAAATATTTCTTTTTACTGAAAAAGGAGTTTTGTTTCATACAATATATTATGGTTTCCCTTCTCCCAACTCCTCCAAGAATGTCCTCCCCTTCTCACCCATTCAACTCCAAGACTTTTTTCTCTCATTAGAAAATAAGAATCAATAGTAATATTAGTAATAATAATAATAACAAGCTAGAATAGGAAAAAATCATAATAAAGTTAAAGAAAAAGCACAAGAAATACATACAAATTGAGATACACCCATTCACACACAAAAACCCATGAACACAAAACAAGAAACTACAATACGTAAACCAAAGATCTATAAACTTAACAAAGTTCTGAAAAGAGCTGTTAGACAAAATACCTCCATGAATATAGTAGACATGGATGCCTGGACAACAGCCAAAGAAGAAGGTATTGTAAACTGGAGGTAGACACATCTGCTTGGTCCTAGAAACTCTTTATCCCCTATTGATGAACTGGAGGAACGATGTCTATGGTCTTCTAAAGAGTCCAGAGACCCACACTGCTTAGAAGGCCATAGAGTTCTTACAGGAATTACATAAGCATATTTCAGAGACATGAATGATTTATTGACAATGATGTTTTTGATTTATTATTTTTATTTAAAAATGGCATTCATGACTTCTTGGTCACTCAGCTAGGATTAAGTGCAGCGTCTGTCCTTGCCAGTTTAATATCTGATACATCCTTTTCCAGGGACACTATAATAAAGGGCTTGGTGAAGCTGGGAGACAGAATAGGAGCTTACTCTGTTGGTTCCACCAACCAACCTGGCACTGTAATACCTCAGAGAGTCATGTCCCCCTTCAGGAAACTTAAGGCATCTTGTACAGTTGGGGCTTACATTTTAGCTAATATCTTTGCAGTTTTGTTTTCTGTTTTGGGAGGGGAAAAATAGCACTCTATATAGCATGTTTTTAAACTGAATATTTATTTATTGTGTGTGTGTGTGTGTGTGCGCGCACACGTGCATGCGCACACTTGTGTGTGTCACACACACCACGATGTTCAAGAGGCGGACAAATTGCCAGTCTGCTGACTCCTTTCACCCTGTGGGTACGGGCATCTACCTGAGGTTCTCAGACTCAGAGACAAGTACTTTCCCTGTGCAGCCTTCTCACTGCCCCACCCCTCCAATATCATAGTTTCTATTGTGTTGTATTATTTTTTCTTGTTTAACATATTGTTGGATTTTGCATTATTGAAAACAGTAGTTTCTGTGCATTATAGACACAAAGCATGTTAAATAATTGAGACATACATGTAAACATAGCCTTTCATGTCACGAGTGCACTGTCCAGCCTGGTCCAGCATTTTGTTGAGGAGGTACTGGAACTAATTCAGTGATTATAGAAAACATACTTTTGCCTAGTTATGACTAAAAAAAATTAGGTTTTGTAATGAGAATGAGGGAAAATGTTCATTTATTAAAACTAATGGCTGGTTTTATAGTGTATTTGTATGTCTGAGAAAGCATAGAAAAAAATCAAAAAATTTACGTACCAAAATCTGAGGGCAGAGTGAGAATGGTATGTAAATTTTAACTATTTGTTTCTTAATTTAGCATTTTTAAGGTATTTTAAAAACTGAGGATATATAATAAATTCAAACATAAATATATATATAATATATTGCTAATATATTGAAAATTTTATCTAAAATTAATTCTACTCTTAATTCTATTCTACTGTCAAACTGGTGATACAACTGTCTTTAGGTGTAGGTTTTGGTAGAAAGACCATTTACAGATATAAGCGAGAATATTTGTGTACAGCATTTATTGTGAAGCAGAGAAAAAGACACAGAAAAGGAAAAGACCAGCAGTACACTAACTTTAGCATGTCATGCCTGCTGGTAGAGGAATGTTTTATAATTATGTGACCACCCCCACACCCGCAGACTGAACAAACCAAAGCAGACCCCAACCCCAAGCCTCGCTGTGCAACCCAAACTCGACCTGAGAGGGGAAAAAGAAAGCAATCTCAAAGTTGGGTAGGAAGGGATAGGAAGGGAGAAGGAGGAGCTGAGGAGTTTGAATATATTAAAAATATAATGTATAAAATTTTCAAAGAATAAAATATATCTTTAAAGTTTATTTTCTGGGGTTCAGAAGGGAGGTTAGTAAGAAAGTTCTTTTCTGCCAAGCCTGGGAAAGTGAATTCGATGCCTGGGACCATATTGTGGAAGTAGAAAACGAACTATTACAAGTTATACGGTGACCTGTACGTGAATACTGTCTCAGGCATACACCTCCACACGTGAAGACACTCGCACAGAATTACTTATAAAAATTAAATGCATACAATATTTTGTGCATAGTCAGGGTCTCACTGAGTAGCCCAGCCTTGTTGGGAACTCCTAACTCTGCCGCGGTCTTCTGCTGTGCATTTTGCTGGTGGGAGCTCTCACATGCTCTTTGGTCTTCCGTACTTCCCTGGATCACAGCCTGCTCTGCATATTGGCTACCGCCCTGCTTAGCACTTGACCCAATACTATCCTGCTGTAGTATCCCTATTCACGCTCAACAGGAAAATCTCTCTGTGCCTCATGCATGTCCTAACTGTACACCAGTATGTGTTTTCACAGTTACATATATTTCACCATGGAGTTTTCAATGCAGTGTTGCAACTATTTTCAATCCCCACCTACCAAAAGTGAGTCCTGACACTTAATCGCTAATATTTGGTTCTTTAGTACTTCATAAATCTGTTCCACAAAGCCCATTGGATGTTCCATAGAGAACACAGGGCTCTGACAGTATGAGTCTGGGCAAGTTAATACAATCTCAAAATAATTGGGGATTTAATTGCAGCTGTAAATTTCTTTATTAACTGAAGATATTTTAAAAATAAAATCCCTTTTTACATGTTTCATATTGGATTTAGTATCTACTATTGGACATAACCAATTCAGGTTTTATAAACTCAGGGCCTAATATGAAACAGTTAATTACAAGACAGGGTATGATGAGTAGTTGCTAGAAAGCAGAAGCAGTGGTAACTGCTTTATCTTGAAGGAGCAATATTTTCTTAAAGGCATTTTCGTTCAACTGTTCTGATGCATGTCCTAGCCAGACCAAATATCCTCAAGGGTAAGAGGTGAGAATCTGGCTCTGATGTCAGAAGCTTATAATAAGCTCACACGCTTATAATAAAATGTTTGTTTATTATTTATTATTATTTTATTTTGTACACAAAAATCTATAAAATTTGTATTCTAAATTTTGCAATACAAAAACAAAAGCAAGAAGCAGAATTCTTTCAGAGACACATCACTAATTTCAGGATGGGTGTATTGGTTTGTTGCTCTCACCGCATCCACCGTTGTGGCTTTTAATGACTCTGGATATTTTGCAGATATCTCAACTTAGATACTGGTAGCTAAGAAAAAAGAATAAGGTACATTGGGAGAAAAAATCACTATGTTACTTATTTTTCAGGGTCATCTTCCAAATAGAAACTTGTATGAAGAAGTGAAGGTTTCAGGAAATGCAAATTATTAATGCTATAACTTGCTACTTCTATATTTCCTTTCATAATGACATGTATAAGCAGAAGAGTGCCTTCTTTTCATATAAAGCACTTATTTTGGGGCATTAAACCCCCCAAAAAGAAATTAAAAATAGAATGAAAGCTGCATGTTTTTCGTTTTATCTTTGGGAAGTAAAAGATTTCGTTAGTCAGAAGACCTAAGTGAGGGAGAAGGGTGTAACCAAACATTAGCCTTTTACTACTGAGAGTGTGTGTGTGTGTGTGTGTTAGAGAGAGAGAGAGAGAGAGAGAGAGAGAGAGAGAGAGAGACTTCTATCAATATCTACATTCTTTTTTGAGACAGGGATCTCATTGAACCAGGAGCTTATTGGTTAGACTTTAATGACTGGCCAGTAAACTCCAGGGAATGACCTGTTCCCACATCCACGGCTCTGGGATTCCAGGTGTGCATAGTACATTCAGAGTTTTGTAAAGGTTTCCCTATTCCAGCTGAGGCCCAAATGCTTGTATAATAGGCAATTATACTAATGGACACATCTCTGTAGACATGCAATGTTAGCTTTATATTATCAGATCTTGTGATTAGACTACTAATAACTGCCGTTTTTAAATAACTATAAGTAATTTTCTACTTTTATGACCAATAATCCTGAGCTGAGTAGGGAGAGTTGCTTGGCTTACTATATGGTGGAATCTTTCATTTTTCAGTTATGGTTAAAGACACACCAGGCCCTTGTGGGAATTAAATAGGCTGATAGGTGGAAAGTGTTTAGAATATAACCTTACACCCACACTTCATGAATGTCAACTGTTAGTAGTAGCTATTATGTGCATAATTATATAATTTAATTCATTTTTAATGAAGTATGTTATATATATACCTATTGATATTATAAAATGTTTAAGGGATACTTGATTCCATATATGACCTATTAATCAAAATTTATACTTCATATGCTTTATTTCTTCTTACAAATTGAGAGATGGCTTAACAATGTATTCATAAAAGAGAAAGATAAATGCAGCACTGAACTGTGGAAAGGAGAGAAGGAATTGTGAATACAAAGATTATTGCAAATAGATTTAAACTGTTGTCTATGATATTAGAAAATTGGTGTGGGACAATGGTCTGTATTCTGTCAATTATATTTTAAATAAACACTGATTGGCCAGTAGCCAGGCAGAAAGTATAGGCGGGACAACCAGACAGGAAAATTCTGGGAAGGCAAAAGCCCATTCCTCTGCAGTCCTGGCCCAGCCACAGAAGAAGCAAGATATGACTGCCCCACCAAATAAGGTACCAAGCCATGTGGCTAACACAGATAAGAATAATGGGCTAATATAGTTATAGGAGTTAATAAGAAGCCTGAGATAATGGGTCAATCAGTTTATAGTGAATGTAGACCTCTTTGTGATTTCTTTAGGACTTAACGACTATGGGAACTGGACAGGACAAAAACCCTCAGACAACAGAAAATCATGTTTTTATGTACCTTAGCTTTTTTTAGTTTCAAATTACAAGCTTAAATTGAATATAATGATTAGTTATAACAGTGTCTATTAAACACACTCACATTCTTTATGTTCTAATGTTGGCTCAATTGAGAATCTCTTGAAAGTCACACATGCAAGCTTCTTACAAATTGTGCAAACTGTTTTCCTTGTATAATATGTTCATTGAGTTCTTTTTAAATAAGAGGTGTGTAAATGAGTAGTCTGTAGAATCAGATGATTGAGTAAGCCGAGTTAATTCCTTTTGCTAACAGTATTGGTTTAGCAATGCTGGAGGAAACTCCCTGGTAAGCTGAGAAGAGCAGAACTGCTTCAATCAGGAGTGTTTGTTTTGTCCTGAGTCTCAGAATGGTAACTGGGCAAGAGACAAGTTTGAGCTCTCTTTTCTTATTGGAGAGCTGGTGAGAGGGACAGGTTTCTTTGCTAGTAAACACTTGGTAGAGCTTCCTGAAATCCAGTAAAGTGGTGGCTGTAGCTGTTTAGAAGTGAGAGCCCAGTCAGAGAGACATGGCTGGTCCTGTGTAGTTGGAGTCCACAGTGCTAGGGATTTCCTTCTTTTTTAACTGCTTTGCAGGATTTTTCAGGATTTTCTCAGCTATTTTGCATAACCATTATCATGTGAGTTCCTGCATACAAATCATAAAACAGTGATTTGGGTTTGTCTGATAAGAATTAAATCACTCACATTGGATGGCCCATGTATAAGCGTCTCTCTATGCTGGTACATATTTGTTATGTAGAATAATTACTTCCTCTTGAAATTTATTATCAAGGCTCACTCTGATACCAAGAGAATAATAGGC